AAAAACGCTTCTACCAGTGTTGTACCATGACGTAAGGTGGGAAGGGGGAGAATTTAGCTCTTTCCCCATGCACGCTCCAGTTTCGGCTTTCAAGAAATGAACTCTTGCCTCCCGCTTTACACGTGAGCGAGCAGACATGGATGAATCCGTGTGGGTGCCTCTCAGTCCTGTCTCCTTTGGCCCCGGCAATTCCCAGGCTCCTCAGGAAATCCGTGGTGTGCAGAGACCCACTGGAAGCCCAAAGGCACTGTCTGCTCACGTGAAACAGATCGGCAAGAGGGTGAAATCCAAAGAGAGGGAAGCAGGGCCTCCTCAAGGCCACCGTGCGGCTTTAAGGTACATGGGAGAGAGGCCCAAGGGAAATGGAAAAAAGCTTGCCCAAACAAAGACATCCCCTCGAGGCTGGCCCATGGAAGCCTTGCGCTGAGAATCTGCAGAAACAACGGGAGGTGCTTGATTGGCACTTTTGCCTCTTGGCCTCATTGAAAAGCACCTCCCAGTTCATGCCTTCCCTAGTAGCCAGGCCACAGCCTCTGCAGGATAGGCCACTACTTATTTTTAAATTTACTACTCCCCTCCCCTACACAGACGCTCAAGGCAGTAAACAAAAGTTCAACATGAAAACGGATAATCCAGACGCCGAAGCCTAATGCTAAGCGTTAAGATATGAAAAGGGCCTTATTAAAACACAGACCTTCAAAAGTCAAGCTAGAAGGTCAGTGCACAAAGTCCTGACTCAAGGGGAAGGCCATGTCCGGCTCCCTCAGAGCCTGCCAGCTGGCACATTCGCAGGCTCCCCTGTTGAGGGAGGCATTCCATTATCCAGGACAGCCTGATTACCCTTCACAGATTCAAACTCAACCAACAACAGGGACTCTTCAGAGGCTGGGGGTGGGGGACACACACAACTCATGTAGAATCAGCAGGAGAGGGGAGAGAGAAGGTTAAGGATGCCTGTCTCATCATGCACCCGGTTCTGAAACTAGGCTCCTCGCCCACCCCATGCCAACCCTCTCGCCCTACTCTTGCCTTTGCCCTAGTCTGGGGCTGGGAATTCACCTAGGAAGGCAGAAGGTGAAACAGTTCCATTGCTACGGGACACCATGACGCTGATTCCGGTCTCCACAAAGGGCACAGAGAAGTCTATCACTTCAGCTCTCTCCGCATTGATGGTCAAGGATCCAATTGCCATGTCAGCTCGCAAATAAAATAAAAAAAGGGGAACAGAAAGACAGAGGAAGTGCTGAGTGTCACGATTCCCACGTTCTCTGGGTAAAAGCAGTAGAAGAAGAGTTGGTTTTTATACTCTGCTTTTCTCTACCCCGAGGAGTCTCAAAGCAGCTTACAATCACTGTCCCTTCCTCTCCCCACAACGGGCACCTTGTGAGGCAGGTGGGGCTGAGAGAGTTCTGAGAGAACTGTGACTGGCCCAAGGTCACCCAGCTGGAATCAAGCCCAGTTCTTCAGGTTAGAGTTCACTGCTCTTCGCCAATACACCACTTGTGAGTAAATAACAGCTCTCAGGAGAAGACTTATCTGTTTATCTATCACATTTTTATCTGGCCCTTTTCCCAAGGAGCTGAATGATGAGGTGCATGGCTCCCCTCCCCCCATTTTATCCTCGCAACAACCCTGTTAGGCTGAGAAATTGTAACTGGCTCATCATCATCCAGTGAGCTTCATGGCAGAGCGGTAATCTGAAGCCAGGTTTCCCTGGTCAACACTCTAAATACCACTCCACACTTGCTGCAGATGTCCATCTGCCCTACAGTGCTTATACTGTGTGAATGGAAATGGAATCGGGGGATGGGCAGAGTCACAAGGTCAGCTCTCCATGAAGGCGATTAGCCCTGGCCAAGCAGCCCTGCAAGAGACAGCCTACAGCAGGATTCTCTAAGAGGGGAGCTAGGGTCACTGGTTTTTGTTAAGTGTGTGGTGGTTGGGCCAATAAAGCCAGGATTCCTGAATTCTCTAAGAGGAGAATGGAGCCTTGATCAGTATGACAGGATGCGTGAGAGCCCAGAAAATGAAATCATCTGGGAGGGGGGAAAGGTTACCTCTCCAATCATGCCATTCCACATCCCGTTGACCTTCTTGCCATGCTTGCCGTTGGTGACTAGATAGAGGTCGTAGGTGAAACCCAAATTCTTAGCCAGACGTTTCAGAATGTCGATGCAAAACCCTTTGCAGCATCTCTTTTCCAAATGATTGCTATGAGCAGCGCAGAGAAGGAGAACTCAGTCAGTGGCCTGGGGGGGCAGCTGGTGCCTCATGGAAGCTACACAGGTGTGCTGCTTACCTGTGTGGAGAGAGGAGGCCACTTGGGAGCCCCCTGCAAGCTGCCCTCAGCTTTCCCAAGGAAGGGAAGAATATAATAACTGAAATCTTAAAACTCCTACGTTAGGCCACCAGAAGGGAAACTTGGCCGGCGCGGAAATACCTGTTAGTATGGTTGAGTGGGTGGCGGCAGGGCACTGAGTCCCGGATGCAGGTCTTGGTGGCAGGATCAATGTCGTCCACGATCACAAAGGGCCTCTCCTCCAGGGTTGCCACGGTGAGGTGATTGTTTTCATCCACAGGTTGGTATTTGCTGTACCTCATGGTCAGGACTCTGTGATCCCACCTTCCCACCTGCCTCCCGGGGCATAGAGGAGAGGTTAGATACACCCCAAACCTTTATCCCAACTCATGACAGCTCAAAAACACTGGCTGATTTCGCACTAGAGCTGCCTCGCGGTTGTGCCGCCGTTTGCCCTGACACTATTTGTCAATTTCATACCCGAAGCTGCGGGGCTGCATTTGACCCGCGGCTTCGCCCGATTTCCTCCGCAGTATCGTGATCCTCAAAAAACAGGATCACAAAAGTGCGGGGGAAATCGGGCGAAGCCGCGAGTCAAAATGCAGCTCCCGTGACTTCGGGTGTGAAATTGACAAATAGTGCCGGGGCAAACGGCGGCGCAACCGCGAGGCAGCTCTAGTGCGAAATCAGCCACTGTCTCCAAATACAGGCTGAAATCAGGAAGTGTTCCTTTGCCCAGTTCCAGAAGTTTTCCCACTCCACTTTGCACCTTCACTAGATCAACCTCTGGGTCTTCTGTTCAAACTCAGAAACTCTTGTCTGGAAATCACACCCACTCTCAAAAGAATTCCTCTACTTCCCCCTTCCTCTGAGGTGTCCATGAGAAGCACAAGATACAGGATTTTAAGTGGCTAGTCTCCCTTGGGATGGTTCAGTGGATTCACACTCTGGGCTCACACTAAAGGTCTGAACAATATCTGGAGCCAGAAACACAACCAGTTGGGCTGGCCAGCAACACTCAGGGTGGCATCCCCTGTGCTGTTCAGCTTGGCTTACGAGCACAAGTAACGTGGAGCGCTTTGCTTAGCAGGCCTCCTTCTTGTTGCGTATCTGCTGCCAAATGTTTGGGTAAGTCCGTGGAGGGCTGATGTGTCAATGGCTGTTTTCCCCACAGCAGGGAATTGGCTGTAATGACTTTTCTACTCTGTGTGTTTATGATCCCCAATCATTCCCCCCCCCAAACCTACTCCTATACATAATTCTAAATGTCACAGTCACCCAATTATTACCCTGTCAACAACATCCTATTCCTACACTTGTTCATGCCAACCAATGGTTACACTTCCACCAGCTCTCACTGGCCCCCAGATTACCACTTTAACCTCTTTCCCCGACTCATAAACTTTCTTCCCCCCACAGCAGCCAGACCCCCCCCCCAAAAAAAACCCTCCCTCAAACTCACCACCTCCCATGTGCGTTCTTTGTTGAGAGAGATCACGGCCAAGGATGGATTGATGAGGTACCCATCTTCATTAAAAGAAAAATCCTTCTGTCCCCACGTAACATTCATGAAGTACCTGTGAAGAGGCAGGATGGAAGTTCTTCAGTTTCAACCCAAAGCCCACCCAGTCGGTGCTCCTGTCCTAGCTTCACACCCTGTCCCTCCCCGCAAGGTTTGCCATTGACCTCTGTGCCCGGCCTAGGGGGCCTACATCTGACATTTGAGGCCCCGTAACACCAGGAAGAGAAATGTCCTTTCAGACCTCTGGAGGTAGCACGTTGAGTGGTAATGGAAGCAGGGTGAAGGAATATGGAGTGGAGGTGTGACAGGCTGTATGGAGATTAAGAAGAACATGCACATTGAGTTGCAACCCACTCATGGCAACCCCACCACCCACAGAACACTCCAGGCAAGAGACAAGCAGAGGTGCTTGGCCACTGCCTTCCTCTGTATAACAGCTGCTGTCTTCCTTGGTGGTCTCCCATCCAAATATTGACCATGGCCAACCCTGTTTAGCTGTCAAGCTCTGATGAGCCCAGGTTAAGCTGGGCTATTCAGGCGGCTGATAGGCTGTAGGGGGCAATGCTCCCTCTAAGCTGTGGAGTCTTCTGAGAAAAAACTCTACTTTGTAAGCTACTGGCATTAAAGTTGTGACCAAGCAATTTGGCTACTGCATAAATTAGTTCGCTCTGGAGCCATCCTTTCTGAGCGAAGTCAAAAATCTGTGAGCTGGAAGCTAAAAAACTGTGAGCTAGTTCACACTAACTCAGCTTAGAGGGAACTCTGGTAGGGGGAGGTACTAATGAAAAGAGTGAAGCAAAGGAGATATATCAGTTGTGAAACAGTGGGATGGCGAAAGAGGTCAGGACAAGTATCTGAATGAGGGAATGGATTCTTCATGAATGAAAAGTAAGTAAGTAGGGGCGGGGTTGTGGCTCAGTGTCATAGTATCTGCTCAGCACGGAGAAGGTCTCGAGTCCCATCCCCAGTATCTTCAGTTGAAAGCAGCAGGTGATGTGGAAGACCTTTACCTGAGACCCCCAGAGTGTTGATGCCAGTCTGAGTATAGAATGAACCAATGGTCTAATTCAGTATAAGGTAGCTTCAAACGGAAGTGGGGAAAGAGGAATTTAGGGTTTATTTGATGGACAGATGGAAGGAAAGGGCTGCCTCTAGCCACCTCCCCCCCCCCACCTCCTTCCCTGCTAACCGATGCAAGTTCTCGTTGATCTGGGTGAGGTTGGGCGCCCGGCAATCATTGTTGAATTTTGGGATTGAGCCGTAGACTTGGGAGAGGGCCTCAGCTCCTTTGGCGATGATGGCCACACCGTTTTGCACCCTGCGGTAGAGATCATCTTTCCATCCTGCTGCAAACCATGAAGAGACCTTCAGGGAGATGGTCAGGCACATACTCAGTTTGGCCAAAGTTGGCACCTGCCAAGAACCAGATGTATCCAGGGCCTGTGAGCTTCATTTCCCGAGCAGCACGGAAGATACCTTCAGCTTCTTCGCGGGAGCAATAGAGAAGGCAGATACGGGCATTTATCTCCCCGAGCTGACGTTTGAGGAGCGCCCCGTCTGGATCGTTGGTGAAATTAAGGATCACACGGTTGCGGCGCTCCCAACCAATGAAACTGCTGTCAGTCAGGACCTCAATGTAATCGATGAAATCTTCATAGCCAGGAAAGTGCGTTGTAATTATGGCAAAGGCTGTCCAATCGTACTGTTCGAGGACCTCAAACATCACTTGTAGTTGCTGCTTTGTTGATGAGCCCAGCTGCAGGAAGGTTGATCCTTTCTCCTAGGTTGATGGGAGGGGAGAGGATGAAAGAAAAAGTGGTGGACAACTGCTTCCTGGTCCAAATCTGCAGTCCTATATGACCAACCCAGACCCCCTTGGGCCATGGGAGAGCTTTCAGAATACTTACAATGGGAGAAAAAGTTCATGTGCCGTTCTGGTGGAAAAAACCCCCCCCCATGTATGGGAGTAATTCCAGAAGAGGTTGAGTGGAAGAAAACACCATACTGAAAGTCGTCTTCTTCTCAGATCCGCTAATGCCCATCTATCTGTCCCTAGGAATATCTCCTCTCTTAAGCATGAATGACATCTCCATTGTTACCTCCGCTCTCCCAGTGTCCCCGCTTGGTCTACGTTCTGCCCTTTATAAAGTTAATATTCTGAACTGAGGTGTCCTGTATCCTGTGCTATGAATTCCACCACCTTTGCATATCAGGCACACGAAGCAGGTTGACATGAGCAAGTTCCCATAATATATTTAGTTCACAAAATGTGGTCTAGGGTAGAATTTGGATTGTTTTTTAAGTACAGAGGAAAGCACAGCCCAAGACCGTGCCTTTTGGATCGCCAGTGACTTAGAACGCTCTCTTACCTTGGGTGTGAGAACGATGGCTGATCCTCCATTGATGCCAATGATGGGAACGGAAGTCTGAGCTGAGATGAAGTCCAGGATCTGGGCCACGGCCTCAGCACGCGTGTCGTCCTCAAAGACGACACCATGGATGTGCAGGGAGGAGAGGACGTCGCAGAGGCGCACGATGAGGCTGCGAGGGTTGGTGTCGTTCAAAACCACCGGGATGGGCTTGATCTCCATGGAGAAATTGCGGAAGTCCTCTGACGAGAACCGGGCACTTTCGGGTGTGTAGGTCGAGCCGCTGAAGATGATGGCAACGTTGATGGAGCGCGGCCGCAGGTCCAGGAAAGGGCTGGCACAGGCCAGAGCCATAACAAAGAGCATCCTAGCAGCGGGGGTGCCCGGGGGCAGGCTCATCTCGCAGGGCCTCTACGTTCACCCTAAAAGTGGTCAAGGGAGAGGAAAGAGAAAACAGGCAAGGAGGGAAAGGGTGAAAAAAAAGGGGGGAAAGAAGAACAGCCTGCGGCCTTGGAGCTCCCACAGGCAACCAGTGTTCCCTCTAAGCTGAGTTACTGTGAGCTAGCTCACAGTTTTTTAGCCTCCGGCTCACACATTTTTGTCTTAGCTCAGGGGGGATGGCTCCAGAGCAGACTAATTGAGGCAGTGGCCAAATCGCTCGCTCACAGCTCTAATGCCAGCAGCTCACAAAGTAGAATTTTTGCTCACAGGGTTCCACAGCTTAGAGGGAGCATTGCTGGCAACCACTTTTGCTGGGGAGCGGGCTTGAAGGAGGCTGATAAACCGAACCTTGCTCTGTCAGCAAAAGCAGCTCCTGTCATCGTCCCCCCCCCACACACACACACTCAGCTTCTCCTCCTCTTATATGCATTAGAGAGAGGCTATTAGGCTTGCCAGGGGAAGTGCTTCAGGCCTCCAGCCCCCAATTGCCAGCTCCAACCTGAAACGCCTGTGCTTCTGTGCAGCCGCAAAGGTCCTTCTTGTTGTTGTTTTTTAATGGAAGCATTCCAGCAACCACAACTTAATCTGAGATAGAGCTCACCAGATGATCCCATGTGCACCTCACAATTACTGAGTCACGTGTTTCTGAAGGGCAATTTCATCAGGAAGTTACAGCCAGTGCCAATGTGGCGTAGTGGTTAAGAGTGTTAATATCTAGGGTACTCAGGTTCGAATCCCTGCTTGCCCCATGGAAGCTCACTGGGTGACCTTGGGCCAGTCACACAGTCTCACAGCCTAACCTACCTCACAGGGTTGTTGTGAGGATAAAATGGAGAATAATGTAAGCTGCTATGGGTCCGAATTGGGGAGAAAGGTGGGGTATAAATGAATAGATAGATATGCACAGGCACAGCCAGATGCCCGAAATGGGGAGACCCCCCCACCCCTGATTGGCAGGTCACCCACAGCACCTCCAGGAAGTACTGGCTGCCTCCTCACTCTTGTGGCCACAAAATGCCCTTGAAATAACAGACCAGCCACTTCAGTTGTGTCCCACGTCACATTTCTTGCTGTCTGAGCTCCCCATCCAATCTCTCCCTTATGCTTTCAAATGTATACATCACCCTCTCGTTAAAGAAACAGACCATCGCCCCACCTTTCCTCCCCTTGTTAAGTTTATGGAGTTTTAGCAATCGTGTGACCCCCTACACTCTGGGGACCACTGGTCTTGAGGAGTAAACCGAAAGGGGCCCTTCAGGAGGAAGAGAACAGCTGGGCTATGGTGAAGAACAGAGAGGGAAGAAAGAAATGCAGCCGAACTCTCAGATCTCTGTAGTCACGGGTTTGGATAGAAAGAGTTCTCGAGATGCTGGGCAGGTGGACAGCGTCTCCATTTCCCCCTCCATCCCTTGGTTAATGTGCGTCACCGTTCCATGGGATGGGGAGGATGGAGACCCAAACTGAGCTGTGAACTATTTGGGAAAAAGGCGTGTCTTTCCTCGAAGCCAGCTTTTAAACTGAAAATGAAGAGGAATCCAGAAAACAAAACAACTGAATGAGGACCGTCTCAAGTTGCCAGAACACCAGTGTAGAGAAGAGTAGGAGGATGCCGGCTACTGCTTTGTCCAGACGTCTCCACTCCAAGCTGGATGTCAGGCGCTCCCACTGCCCCTCATTTATGCTCCGTGGGCACCGTGGGCATGCTGCTTCCAAACAGATGGGTTTCACGCAATCTGCCTTCAGTTTCAGTGAGAGACTATAAATAAAGTAATGGCAACAGTGGACACTAATCCAAACTAGCTCTGCTATCATCCTCACTGCACTTCTTTCATCTTCCACACCGTTAGTCTCTCCTCACCTTTTCCCTTCCTTCATTTCATCCTCTAGGCAAAATCCTCTGAATCCCAGCTGGTCCCCTTCCCCGCAGTTATAGCAGGTTTGCCTGATGGCTCGCGGACTGTCCACTCAGGGCCTGATGGAAGTGTACTCAAGTGATTTACCAGGCTAAGTTCCTGTAGCTTCCACCTCCCCCCTTATCTGTCATAACCTGCCCTCGCTGTGCCATCTTCCCCTCAGGAGGTTATGAGGATGCTCTCCACAACTTTGTTTCCGCCGCTGTGCATTCAGGACCGCACAGTCACAAGGTCTCTCCACAAATTTGCCCCTTAAGGACTTGGTCGGGAGCCATTTGCATTAATTCCTTTCCCTCCCCCTGGACAAATTACCCCACGTGGTCAAGATCACGGGAAGAAGTGAGCAGAGAGCTCCAAACGATTCAAGGAAGCGACGACTCCAGTGGCCACAGAGACTTGTGAAGGAAGGCCTCTTGCCAATCAGAGGAGGGATTCCTCCCTGACCGTCTGTTAATCAAGTCAGCTCCCTACTAGGAGGTCTCATGGCCGCCACGCAGACTAAAAGGCTACATAAAAATCAAGTTGATAAATAAGAATGACTAAAGCAGACCTTGCCCTGACTTGGATGCCCCGGGCTTGTCTGATCTCTTCAAATCCTGAAGAAGTGGGGGATGTTATATGGGTGCCATTCTTACTTGAATGTACGGCTTCAGATCAAAGGGCAGGGGTGGTCTTTCGAATGCGATCGTGTGCAATAGCCTTCTGGCGTGCTGCAAATAAGCTTGTCGGGAATGCTGATTTTCCTATGCAGGGAGCAAGTCAAACATGCCACCCTCCCCTGAAGAAGTGGGGGATGTTATATGGGTGCCACTCTTACTTGAATGTACGGCTTCAGATCACAAGGGCACGGATGGTCTTTCGAATGCGATCGTGTACAATAGCCTTCTGGCGTGCTGCAGATAAGCTTGTCGGGAATGCTGATTTTCCTATGCAGGGAGAAATTAAACCATGCCACCCTCCCCTGCAGTCAGAAGCAGAATCACTGGCTTGGCTCTTCAGGTCTGTGAACCACACCACCACCACCACCACCACCTGAACTCTTCGTTCTTCAGCTCATTTCCAGCTTCAGAAGCCAAGAAACAGTTCAAAAGTGAGCCGTGGACAGGGTTGCTAACTCCGGGCTGGGAAATTTCTGGAGGTTGGGGGGAGGGGGCCTGGAGACGGTGGACTTCTATGGGGAGGGGGCTCAGAGGGGTGGGATGCCGTACAGCCCTCTCTCTGAAGCCTCCATTTCCTCCAGGGGAACTGAGCTCTGTGGTCTGGAGAGCAGACATAATCCCTGGAGGACTCCAGGCCTCAGCTGGAGGTTAGTGACACTACCTGTGGGGGCATCTGCAGGGGGGGGGGCAAATTGCTGGGTGCAGGAATGTGACGCCTGCCTTCTCGTTTATCTTATAGCAAAAACACACAGAACTGGGGACTCCCTGTCTGCCTCTTCCCATGCATTTCTTCTGCCCTTCGTGTTCCAGAGCACTGGCTCCTAGCTTTGCATGTTCCCAAACCCTCTACTTAAATCATTAAGCACTTCAAACACGCTCCCACAAGGCGTCTTCCTAAAGAGAGGGGCCCTCGTCAGCAGGGCAAAACATTACCGAGAGTCTTGTTTGTCAGTGCTAATTTTGATTAGAGCTGACCCTGCTCATTCGACCACCTCCTTGGTTTTCAGGTTTCAAAGCTTGCCCGCCAGAGCATTTCCAGATGTCAGGAACCTTAAGGCTGCTGCAGTTTGGGTTCACCTCTAAGACTGGGCAAAATGAGACACAAACATGCCCCAGCAGTTTTAAGTCTAATCCAAGCGGAGCCCGGTGAATCAAATCAAGAATTCCCTCCCCCACACAAGGTCTGACTCAAGTCTCTTTCCATACCTATCATCAATGAAATAGTATGTTTTAATTGTGAGCCTTTACACCTTGTTCTTTCCCCCAAATGAACGTTTGAAGTAAAATAATTAACAACACCCACTTTACAGTCAGGGAACAGACTGGAAGGAAACCAACCTTTGTATGTTATCCCCTCCCCCCAAATGATAGGGAAGAGTGTGTATGCTGTCGTAACCAGTGACGCTCAAGTCCCCACTCATGGTGAAATAAAGCACTTGAGTTATATTTGCCATATAATGAGATACATACTGGGCTCCAGCATACTGTGCAGGTATGGAGTCAAGAAGTGGGTACCAGGGGGTGGGCCTTCGAAGTCAGTGGCCAAAGCAACCAAAGTCAGCGGGCTTAGAAGGGTATAACTCTGCCCAGCAAACCTTTCTCTTTCTTCCCACCCATTCAAAATTTGTATGAATTGCTTACATTTCCTACCTATCTCATAGGATTGCTGTGAGAGTAAAATCGGATTCTGAGAGCCATGTAAGCTGACCCGAGCTCTTTAAACAAAGGGCAGGATAAAAATGTAGTGTGTAGAGAGCGTTCAGGAGCTCTTTAACCATAACAAGGCCATAACTTATTATTCATTTACACCGTTTATGATCCGCCTTTCTCAGTTGGACTCAAGGCAGATTATTGTAGACAGGTGTTGTCCAAATATTTGTGAAAATGAGATTGTGTTTTCCAGTTTTCCATTTAATAATTAATAGGATTAGCCCAGATGCAGTAGCTGTATTCATTGATGCTCTGCTGTTTTGACTATGGGGGCAAATTCCCAGCCTGTCTCTGACCGGCACATTACAAGGTGGCTTGTGAACTTTCAGAAGTTGTCTAATGCCTGACAGCCAACTCAGCCACCAGTGCCATGTGGGTTCTTAAGGGGTGTGTGTGCCTGTGTGTGTATGGGGGGCACTGAAATGCAGCAACTGTTCCTCTACCCAAAGAAGTACCCACTGAGTGACTTTGTGTCTCAAAGTTATAGTGAGGAGGGCAGAGGTGACATAGATATTAAAAACCTCTTGCACATTCTAACTGGCACAGGGATTATAATTTATAATAATATGGCCACCACCTGCCACATTCGGGGAACTAGTATGCCAAGTATGTTAATTCTGCACCACTCT